TCCTCTGATTGGGACCAGGGAAACGTCAGATCGCCCTATTGCTCACTAGGGGAATCCTATCAATCTGTTGTAAAATACCTACAAACCATAACATTTTTGGGATACATTGGGGTATAACGATGCCCAGTCCTGCACATACCCAGTGTGACTCTGACCGGGTGCACATAAAGCTAACACCCCGGTGAATGTAAATATATAGACTATTAGGTAGTTACATAACACCCATTTTGTTGCATTTTGGGCTGGTTATTGCCTTAGACTGTGGGTCTAAAGGAGAACCATATCCGTAAATGGATAGCAGATCCACGTATGCCTCAGCCCTTTGCTGGCTCTGTCTGGTGGCTGATTCCCCAAGCAAAGCAAATGGCTTGCGGTTCATTTAAAAGCTGGCTGGAACACCAGGCCTGGTGGACAAAGATGCGGGCAGTTATCCGGTGATTCTGGGTGCTGCTAGTCACGCAGGACCCTGATTTCCAATGTGAAAACAAATAATAATAATAGTAATAATTTATGGAATAACAATAAAAATAACTTTAAAAGTCCCCATCAGACCCTTGCTGGGTTTGTGAAGCAATTTGTGTCTTTGGAAAATGCTATTGGGGAGATTCGATTTCTCTTTTTCATCTCTATAGACTCCCCATTTTTTCCTGAGGGTCTGCATGGTCTCCTGTGAAATATGCAGCTTCATTACAAATTCCCAGTAGAGCTTGCTGGGGGAGGGCACTTCCTTGGGCCTGTTACTTGCAGTGACAGGACGCCAGGGGAAGGTAGTCAGTCCCAACTGCTGTAAATGGTGAACAGCACTACGGGTAGTTAATCTACCTGCGTAAAAGATAAAGGATAGTGTGCAGGGCAGTCATCCCACCACTCCTACATAGAAAATCAGGGGGCATGATAGCCAGTCCCTGCCACTGCCAAAGTCATGTGGATCAGGGGGCGGGGTACTTAGCCCCTACCCTGATAAATTGGGAGGACCTAGAGTTCAGCGATCCTAAAGAAAAACCTACGTAGGGGTCAGAGAACGTGGGTAGGGACGTGCTGCCCTTGACTCTATGTCAAGGCTGAGGAAAAACCCAATGGTGCAGACCCAAGAGGACATCAAATAAAGAATAGGTTTATTATGCGAGAAACACTCTGTGGGGCAGGGGAGCCTTTGGGGCCAGCCCATGCACCTTCCTTAAACACATGCCTTGCAGGTGGTCTAACATTTAGACTCCACTCATCCCATAAGGATGCATATGCTATGGGGAATGTGAGCTGCATGGGCAGACCATGCAGCCTTGGCATGGAGTATGCAGTCTCAATATGTTTAAGGGGTCCTGTGAGTACAGCCTTTGTGCCTTGCGGCATGGGGCGGGGAAAACGGACTGCCTTTGGGATGGCCCTGTTTAGGTCCTCTCTTTGAACCTTGCAGCTTGGGGGATGGGGCTACAGGGTTGTCTTGCAATGGCTAGGCAGCTGGGTGGGAGCCCCTGCAGTGGGCTCCCACCTGGGGCAGGGTGGCTCGCCCTATTGAAGAGGTAAGGGAGGGGTCCTTGACCTCTGGCCTTGACCATACCGCATGCTGTGTTGCCCTTGCCCTTGGTTCCAGCTTAAGTTATCAGTTAATAAAGTGGCCTTATAGTTAAACCCAACACTTGTGTCTGCCTCATTATTTCTGACTTGGGGGGCAAACTCATAAAAAGTTACCACTTCTTACCCTAGATGACTTTTGCAAAACTAGCCTAATAATGTTACCAACAAATCTTTTCTGCTTTACTATCCATCCTATCTATCATTGAAAATTGGGGTAGAGATGTGGTGGAATGTCATTTTTCCTATCAGCATTTTTTATCCTGCTTACTTCCTTTGTTAATTTTCCTTCTTCATTCATTCTCTTTATTGGATTGTTAATTATACATTCTGTGCCATTTTTACACATTTGACATAAAAGACATCCATTTTAGCTATCATATTTCTATCAAATTTTGTTACCATGGCTGAGGAAAAAGATGACTGCAGTCAAACCAGTGATGTCACAAATTTGGTAAATTCCCCAGGTGTTTCAAGGATGGAAAGTCTATGGCTGGGCTGTCTGCCAGAGAGCAGCTGCTTATAAAAGCAACACTAGCCCCTTTCAGTCATTACAGTTTTGGCGCTGAAATCACACAGAAGGGAAAATCATGCTACTCTTGACCCTCCTGATATGTACAGTTGCTATTTTGTGTGACTAGGGCAATACGTGCATTTTCCACCTTCTTGTTCATACAATCAGAAAACCAGATTTATTGAGAATATGTATTTGCATGTACCGAAGCTATAAAATACACACATTGTCCTGTTCACACAAAATGACAACTGTGCATATCAGGAGGATTATGGGTAGCACAATCTCCACTTATGCGTGGTTTGAGCACAAATTTGTCATGACAGAAGATGGCTACAGAGTGACTGCAGTCACAATGGATCTAGTCATCGAAAGCATCTGGCTTGAACACAGGCAAATTTTACTACCCTCCATATGACCCTTGACAACATTTCCCTCACAACATGACCTGCTTCTCCCAGATTTCTAAACGAATGGCATTTCTCCCTAGTCCATTTATAAGCAGCTAGCACACAGTAAACAGTCATCTGAATCCACTCTCAGATGCACCTAAGAACCTGGAATTGAGTCAGAAGAACGTATTCCACTCTATAAAAGCTTATGCGATAATAAATCTGTTAGACTGAAGTCACATATGCATTGTGAAGTTCAAGAAGATTGAAATGCGGTTGTAAATCATGCTTCTCGCATGCCAACCAGTCAATTCAGAAGCACGTCTAACCCTGCCCTTCTGTTTTTCACACATTCACAACAACAGAGGGACAGGGGCTGAAAAGTACTTGATGTGGTGTATATAAATTTGTCTTATAGGTGTGCCAAAATACTCCCTTTTCTTTGCTTTGCCTAAAGAGCTGAACAGGGGTTGCATTACAGAGAGAAATGAAATTAATACTGCTCAGAAGTTATCATTAAAGATGCCCTCTAGGAAAGTCTTGTTTGAAGCACCTTTCTGTTTTTGACCAGGAGACTGCCCCTTCATTTCTAAATGTTATTTCTGCTGTCTTGAGAACCAGAACCTTAGCAAAGCAAAAGCTTGTATTTTTATGGTAAAGTCACGCAAACATGCTCATCATTTCCAAAGTGCAACATCAAGCAATGATTGTGGTCTAGTTACCATGGAAATAATTAACCTGCATCTGGGCTGTACGACTTCAGACTGCAAGTGTGATCTCATCTGATTGAATACTCTGTTTTTAAAAAAACACCCCTGATTATTAGAAGACTAGCATATCAGGACTGAATATTTCTCTTTAATGTCGAGGGTTTTTAATATCAGAGGAATGATTTGCATGCAGAATGATTGCATGCAGGAATGATTTGCATGCAGAAACGTGCACTCGTGTGGACTATCATTAGCAGTCTGGAGCAGGTGTAGACTGGGAGGAAAAAATGGCCCTGAATGCCCCCCCCCCAGTAGGGAAGAAGGGAGGACAGGCTGCTTTGAGGCTTGACTGAGCATGTCAGTCACTGTGCTGTGGGAGCAAGACTGAGTACATCAGGCAAGTGTAGCCTGGCCGGGCTGAGCCTATCCTGCAACATGGTGGGTCAGTGAGCCCACACTGGGCACATCCCTTGCTGGATGCGTCCCTTGCCATAGTGGGTGAGCAAACCTAAGCCAGGTTCATCTTTTGCCATGGTGGGTGATTGAGCCTACTTGAAGAAGAGAAGAGGAGATTGGATTTATGACCCACCCTTCACTTGGAGTCTCAGAGCAGCTTACAATCTCCTTTCTCCTCTCCTCCCCAACAACAGACACCCTGTGAGGTAGGTGAGGCTGAGAGAGCTCTTTTAAGGACTGCTCTTAAGAGAGCAGCTCTGAGAGAACTTGTGACTGACCCAAGGTCACACCAACAGCTGCATGTGGAGGAGTGGGGAATCAAACCTGGTTCTCCCAGATTAGAGTCTGCACTCCTAACCACTGCACCAGACTGGCTGGCTGCATCCCTCACTGGGTGGTACAAGACAGGGATGGGCCTGTCCTTCACCAAGCCAGCCCTGAATATTTTCAGAATTCCAAAATGGTATGGAGTGGGGGAATGAAATACTCTGGAATACTGATATGCAACCCATTTCCAAAATCCAAATATGAATAATACTATTAATTACCATGGAGAAGTCTTCCTACAATTGTGCACTCCCAAGGAAATAGTGACCTAGCAACCAACCACCTTCCTGCTCCCAGCATCTGTTATAGATGATGTACTGGAATGCTGGAGGTCTATGTGAAATTGGAAAGCAACTAGCAGCATTTAAAATTGAAAATGATGTATTGAAAAAGAAAATGCCACACGTATACTCTGCACAGCAACAGATCAAGCAAGGAACAAAGAGAAAAGGTACAAAGATGCACTCTTCTGTTCCTCAGCCCTGCATATGCTCTAGCTGGTCTTATTCTAAGGCAGGCTCTTTAAACTTAAAAGATACACCACTCTAAAAGCTTCCCATTACTGTGAAGTTTGGTCTGGTCTGGTCTGCCTGTCCTTCATTAGCTCCAGATGGTAATGACAGCCATCAAGATGGAGCCCAGATGTAAGAGCTCCTTCCTACAGATAAAACCAGTGAAAATACCCTTGTTCCCTTTGTGCCAAGGGAATTTTTTCCCCCTTGTCTGCCCATCCTCTGTGTATGGCCCAGGAAGAGATACTATCTAGAATTTGGCATCCCCAATCTCTATCCCCAATCTCTATCACCTCCTAGATGTCACATTTCTGTGAGGGCTTGAGGTGGCCCATTCATTGTTCTGTGCTGGCCAGAATCATTTACATAACCACACCTCAAGTACTAGGTGCTTGAGAAAGCCTCAAGCAAGGAGCCTCGCCCTGAGATGAGTGTTTCCTTGAAATCCCCTCCCCCAATATACAAACAGGGCTAATCATTCACTTCAAGAAGCAGAAGTCTCAACAACTGAACCTACCTGTACAAGGCAGATGCTGTTCTCTTCAGCCCTTTGGGTCTGTTGGGTTTGGGTTCTCCAGCCATGTTAATATCTGCAATAAACAGCAGTTAGGCATCAGTACTGTTGCATTCACTTTCTGTCCCTGAAGCCGGTTGTTATGGACAATATTTAGTTGTTCTGGGCACTAGAGGTTTTAAAAATTAAATGTAGCCTTTTTGATATACATTGAACACTAGGCAATGACTATTTATGAACCTTTTATTTATTTTTTACTGATTTTTATTAATTTTTTCCTCAAAAGTAAGTAATAGTCAGTAGTTTTAAACTTACAGAATAGCATAAACAGCATACATAGTTTGTAAAACAATATAGTACTAGTTTTTTTCTTTGTTGTCAACAAACTTAATTTAGTACCTATCACCCTTGTGTTTAGGTAAATATAAAAATGAGCTAATGCAAAGAAGTAATAGCGTGTGTCCCATTCAATTATATCATAACAATGTCACAACTAGGCACTGCAGTATGGTCAAAGAGGTAAAGTTTAGTAGTCTAGTAATTTTAAGTATAAAGAGTTTTGGGGTTGAGAATCCGAAGCTGAGATATATTTCATGAATAGGGTCCATTTCTCCGTAAAATTGGATGATTTAGGACTGATGTCTGATTGAAGTAAACGGTCAGTGATTTTTTCTAATATAAGGTGATCCCAAACTTTGTTTAGCCAGTTGGTACGTGTTGGAGCCTTGTCTGATTTCCATTTAGAGGCTATCAATGTTTTAGCAACCACTATGAGGCTATTGATCAAATCGTGACTGAATGTTGGTATATTTGTTGATTTCCAGATGCCCCAAAAGATTAGTGGTTAAGACGCTGAACTTCAGGCTGTGGAAGGTCGGTAGTTCAGCAGTTCGAGACCCGAGTGTGCCGCATGACGGAGTGAGCTCCCATCTCTAGTTCCAGCTCCTGCCAACCTAGCAGTTCGAAAGCAAGAAATTGCAAGTAGATAAATAGGTATTACTTCAGTGGGAAGGTAACAGCGTTCCGTACGCCTTGGTGTTTCGTCATGCCGGCCACATGACCACGGAAATGGGTTGAATGGTACTTCGTAACCTGTGATTAGTTTTATTTGGTTTAGAACATCTTGCCAGAAAGCTCTGATGCTTCTACACTGCCACCAACAGTGGGCAAATGTTCCCACTTCTCTACATCTTTTCCAACATTGAGAGGAATGAGAGGACATTATTTTTGAAAGCTTCTCTGGTGTGAGCTACCACCTGGTGATGATCTTGTATGTCTGTAATTTTGTTGATATGACTGGCGAACCTTTTAGATAAATCAACATATGCAAATGAATACTGGCCTTTTCCCATTTGTGAAAAGTAGCAGATATAAAAGGTCTATTAAGATAGCTTGTTCAGCTAGGTCTGTCAGTGGATCCATCATGTCCTTTAATCAATCAATTAATCAGTGATATAAAATACTTTTGTACCATTACCCTTAGGAGATTTTGTAGGATAAGAAAACTCCTGGTTAAGGGGCTGAAAACACCTCCCTGGCTTATGTGGTTCTACCTCTTGTAATCAGGGTTAGTGTGAATGTAGGCATAATACTAATCTTTTCACAAAGGAAAAGGAAGATGAATGGTATGAAAGAGGGAAAAGAATATGAATGCTCAGAGGTCTGTCCTGATCTCTACTCTTGGTCAATATTAGAGCTGTACAGCCCTCACTCTTCGGAGGAAAAATTACCCATAACATTTTCTTTTTTGTTCTTTGTTACAGTAGCATACTCTAACCAAAAGAGTCTTTAAAAAATGGAATGTTCCACTGGTTAAAATTTGCACCCAACAATTTAAATGGATGACCGCTGATTAATCATGTATAATTTTAGCTGATTAACCTCACGATTAAAGCTTGCAGCCTTAATTTGAATACGGGAAGGTGTTACCCATTGAATACACTCCTTACTGCAGTGTTGAGACCCTCTGATTTATTTTAATACTGTCAAATTACCTTCTGCTTTCAATGCCCAATTAAGTCCTTGAACCTGTTTGCTAGAATGCCACTGCTCTATGGCAATAGTCCTATTTCATCATGAACACACTTAATACTGCCTTGTACTGAGTCAGTCCATAGGTCTGTCAAGGTCACTAGGGTCTACTCTGACAGGAAATGGCTCTCCAGGGCCTGAGGCAGATGTGTTTTATATCACCTACTATTTTCTCTTAATTGGAAATTCTGGGGAATTCAGCCAGCTCCACCACTTAGCCATGGCCCCTCCGCAGTCACCATTGCAAGTAAGAAACCATTAGCATCTCATTTGAAAATTCTATTGTGCACACACACGCACACACACATGAAATGCTTAAAACCTGGTCAGCACATCCCTTCGTAAGACTTGTTCATGAAGAATTTAGCATTTTACAAAACTATACCTCTAGTTAACAATTACAAGTTGCCTTCTTCCTAGCAGAAAACGAACACCCCAAATTGGCACATAGGTTTGTCATGTTCCTTGGCACCATCTAAAAGATGTGCTGGATGCAGAAGCATGTCTGAAGTCACCTGATGTGATCTCATGGACAGTTTTCAATTCCAGTGATGGGGAAGAATCAGATTTTTCTGATCTGCTGAGAAAATCTCTGCCCTAAGCCTTCATAGGGAAGGGAATGCATGAAGCGTGAGGACAGAGCAGCGTGACCAATTTTCACTGTCTGCATGAAAACGGAACAAAGTAACTACAACTACAAAGACACCGCTAGACAGAAATGGAGCATAAGGAAAGGTGAAGAACCCTCCTGTCCCGATTTTTCTAGCTGGAGGCAGGAAAAATGTTCGTATGCCTGACAAAGCACTCCACATGGTCCTTACTGCTCCCTTGAACACTTTGGGACATTGCCAGCACAAAGATACAGCATCAAAAATGACAGATGTCCTTTCTTTCAAAGCCAAGACAGACACATTGGATTGGAGATGCCAGTGCCACAACGGGAAGGGGGGGGGAACTGCCAGGTTTAGAGAAGCTTGAAAAGATCCATTTTGGGTGAAGCACTACAAACATGGAATCACAGAGAGGAAAGATCCCAGGGTACATATCTCACTTGTGGGTGGCCATCTCGTAGCACAGATTCTGTAACTGGCCCAGCCATCTCGGGCTTGTCAGGCTCCTGGAGAGGGACAGGAAGTTCTGTGGGCCTCGCTGTGTCATGGAGTTCCATGGTGAACATACAACACTTACAAGAGTAGTCCTTTGGATATAAGCGACATTGCTTGTCTTTGAACCTACATAGCACCATGCATTTCAAGTTGTTTTTTGAGTCTCTGGCTTCCAGATTTACTATTGCAAGGTTGTTCATGACTGATGAAGAACATAAGAACATAAGAGACGCCAATGTTGGATCAGGCCAAAGGCCCATCCAGTCCAACACTCTGTGTCACACAGTGGCCAGAAATACCAGTGCCATCAGGAGGTCCACCAGTGGGGCCAGGACTCGCTGTGATTGAAGATTGAAGCTATGATAATTGTACTTTGAAGTTACATCGTACTGCACACCACCAATTAACTTTTGAATTTCTGTCTTCAAAATCAGCCTGCACATTGCTCATGACTGATGAAGATCCGTGCATCGAAACAGGAATATAGCTGGCATCCTGTCTTTGTTGTGTGTCTTTTGAAGCTCATTATTCCTGATAGCATATGTCTACTTACAGTATTTTTTCCACTGCCAACTTTTTTGGGATATGTCATTGTAGTTGTATTTAACATAAATGTTATTGTTAATATTGTAAAAAATACTCCTTGATAGTGTTCTTAATCATTGCTATTCTCTTTTTGAATTTTGTAATTACAATCACCTTATTCATGTTTTGGCAAATTTTGAATCATATTCACCACCATTATTCCGTTTTATCCATTCTATAATCATTCTTAGCCCTCTGGTACTTAGTACTCTCTTTTTGTGTGTGTCATGGAGTTGGCCCTATGGTGTAGAAATCCACATGCTCCTCAGCTCACAAGGCAATACTATTTCAATAGATGCTATAACGCATGCAAGAATGGTAACTTTGGCAATTCTTTGGGAGGAACTTTCTCTGTTCAGGTCAAGACAGTTCAAGAACTCTCTCAGCAATGACTCTCTCAGCTGTGCAACAAGAACTTATGTAGAAAAGGCAGGCTGTTTTACCTCAGAGGTAGTTCCATTGTTTCATTTGGGGTTTCCAACAAGCTGAGCAACAGGCCATAGTGATACAGAGAAGTATTTCATTAAACAAATCTGCATCTCTCTCTCTCTCTTTTTTCTGTGCATCTCCATGAGTCACACTGTAGCTGTTTCTTTATTCTCTATCTTCCTGTGTCCCTCAATTATTCCCTATCTGCTTTTCTAGCTCAGTTATTGAGTTCCACATACCTTGATATATCCATGGGTGAGCATGGGAAATAAGGAGAAATGTACCCATGTGTACTTTTGGTTGTCTTAATTTGGGGGAATTGTTCTGAAAAACATTTTCATCTTGTCTGTTTTCATTGGCAATTTCCCACTTTTTGTGTCCTTATATGGCTTTATTTTATGCCTTTTATGTCCTATGAGGAACAGATACCATTTACATGCAATTGATGCAAAACCAATAACATTTTTACAGAACTTCATTAATATGGGCAAGGAAAAGCAGGCCAGCTGTTTTGTCCTGAGTGTGGAGAAGCTATAAAGGAAATTTCTTTTGAAATTAGCTGTCACAGAATTTGGGATTATATATGTAATAAATTAACATGGATGTCTTTGACTGTGCAGACCAGAAAGCAGATACCAGTGTGGGCTGAAGTGCCTCACATAGCTATGTTTCCCATCATTTACTTAATGACGAAACCTTTCAGATTTTTGAAGTTTTTATTTTTCAGAATGAGAGTTTGAAGGAAGGGAAGGCCAGTGAAGGGATTTGTTTTCAGTTACCTCTAATCACAGATTGCTGAGCAACTCTCTTTCAACCACTCCCTCCATATTTTCAAACATCAGCAACCAATCAGCACAGAGGCCTGAGTTCTTCTCCATTTGATGACAGAAGGAGAAAAAGAATTGCATATTATTTGTCTTCTGAA